TATACCAAATACTAAAATACATTACTGTGTTTATTTATGACAACATCAGTGAAGGTTCAAACGCATTTGATGCCTTCAGACCTCACTATCACAATCCAGTTTCTTTGTTACTGTATTTCAATATTTCCCAATTTCCACTATGCCTTTTCAGAGTGTATTAACAGATCACTTTAGCTGATCAATCATAGACAATGACAACCTGCACACGAAGGGAGGTCACATGTTCAAATGTTATACTGCTTTTTATTCAAATATAATGACAAAATTCAATTGCTTTTTTTATCAATCTTTGTTAAGAGGGCAAAGAAACAAACAAAAAATAAGGACAAAATACATAAAACATGATAAAATCCGACAAATTTTGCCTAGCAGAGTTTCATGAAATGGAATCAGTATCACGCTGGAAAACACGATTCCCTTTGCTTGGCAACGCAGGCAATAAATGTGGAGTTTGTGGGTCACGTTTCTTTGATGTCGTGTTGAGGACCGAAACACGTCAAAGAACCCTGGTTCATGCCAAGCTCTGAAAGAAACATGATCAAGAATTCCAATACCGATAGGACTTTGTTCAGAAGTCCACAGCGCATACTAACAGCTGCATTATGCCTTCTGTTTTTCCGTTCTGTTTCCAGTGACCATAAATACAATCAGTCGTATTTTGTTCTCCATCCACGATAATGTTAGGGATCACTACCATGGATTTAAAAATATTTAAAAAATAAGTGTTAAGTACAGACGTAACATGTGACAGTGAAAGCTGTATAAGAAACCGATAAGCTCAACGTCGAATAAACAATAATCACGTTAGTTCGAAATGTGGACATTCATCAAACAGGTTGACAGCTACATCGATTTCAGGGCCATATATCGACTCTGATACTCAAGCTGGATCACCAAAATGGAAGGCAGTGTCGATTTGATGTTTCTTGGGCTCAGAACGAAATCTTTCAGAAACACATTATCAGGCATCTTTTGTTTATATCATTTGATTTTGCTCAGAGGACGTTTCTCGGGGTATATTGTTAAGGGGATGATGGATATACTTTCGGAGATTTTGGTAATTGTGAAACAGAAATCCGCATTCCTTGAACAGAACTGATTTCCTGATAAATTGTTTTAACTGGATCAACAGACGTTTCATACCTTGATAACCCTAAGCTGTTTATGTAATTGGTAGGAACGTCGTTGGAAGGCATTGTTCGCTATGTTTTGTTTAAAGCAGTTCTTCACATCACACGATGATTCCAAGTGTTAGCTTATGGGGGTCATGTACATTACATTCCAAGTAGCAGTTATTTGCATTAGATATGTATCTGTATTTCTAAACCAAATATATATTTTATATAATATATCCAAATGTTAAGAAGACCTATTGTTTTCATATGATACTCTGTCATGAACACCCGTATTCTCATAGGACTGTGGTTAATCTTTCATGACACGAGTCCCTTAACTTCTTTTAGTAGTAGACGTTGGCAGTCCCTACAATACGTGTTTGGAAAACAGTGTTTCTGGACAAACAAATCGTTATTATTTTTGCCGTTCAATATGTGATCCCGTTTGTTTTCAGACAGTGCTTGACTATAGAACTACAATATGACAGACACTATTGATTAACAGAAATACTGTCCCTTTTATATGTATGTTAAGAAGAGTACAATAAAGTCATTAGGAGCATACATTTGTAATGAAGATTTATATGTAGACTCCTGTCAGATATTGAATTTAATAACCAAATCCCCCATTGTCAGCACAAACGACCATAACCGAATTACGATTAGAGAAAATTTCAGTTGTAATTACACATTATCATAACAAGCATATTGCTTTAGTCATCGCATACAGAAATCACTCTACCATTACGCATTGTGTTGCCCAAATCAAAACGACTTCCCACGTTTACAATAACATCGCAATAAAACAGTCTCAGATCACTTAGCAAGGTTGAACGTCATATTGTGCAAATATAATCTATTGCATGATCTTTTATTAGCCAGCGTTTTACCAGCTGTCCTGATTCATGCAATTACTCACTTGGTAGAGTTTATTATCGTAATTGATTTGAAATTTACTACTCGTATTATGTATTTGCAAGGTTCACGGGTGATCGGTAGAGTGTCAAATCTAATCAGTATTTGATAAACTATGGTAATGTAATTTTGATCCATTAGGCTGAGAAACACGCAACTACTTGGTCTCAATGGGCCTTCTGCGTTCCATTTGATTGTCCGGTAAAGGCGAATTGTTTATGGACCATCGTAGTGTGGCAAGTACTACTGCGTGGGTTTAGTTAAACAAAACAAAACCCTTCTTGTTTTAGGTATTGTCCATTGTGACGAATACCGTGTCATCACTGATTTTAAGTCATCCATTAATACGATTTTCTCAATTATCTTACCATTGATACTTGATGGCAGATAATCAAGGCTGATTATCATCTTGCGCTGATGTGTTACAAGCTTTTGGTATGGAGATCATACTAAACCACAGATCTCTTCATTGAACGACATTTAATGCGAATTGGTTTATGGAGATAAGTATAGAGCTATACCGTTTCACTCGTGTACGTTTATGAATATGATGTAAACTATAACAGCGTTATCAAAAGAATCAAACTGTTTTCATGTTACCCAAAAACGTATTGATGGTTTACTGCATCCGAGCATTGAAGACGTTCGTAACAATAGCATGTATCATTATAAAACACAAATATACGAAGAAAGAAATTAACACGCTATTATCATTCAACACGTGGCTATGAAGCCCGGTTTTGTCATGTGTCCTGTTTCCACACACACAAGGCATGTTTGTTTGTTATCACACATAAAATGAAAAAGACATTTTCCAAAACAGCTTCTGCATTTGGTCATCAAAGAAAGCAACCGTACATATGCTCCCAGGTCCTGTAGGCAATGTACAAATAAATGGCACGTGTCCATGACATGCTGTTCTGTTGGTCAGTAGTCATGTACTTATGACATATCGTGTCACATATGTGCCAAATAGAAGTAACCGAAATACCTTTGTTAATTAGAAGCAAGTATATTCATGCAACTAGGTGTCGTTGGCTGTGTAGATATATTTGTCATTTTTGTCCATTTTATACCTACATATCTTGTAGCAGTTGTTCCAAACCAGATGTGGAGTGTAAGTCATCGAAATACCTTTGTTAATTGGAAGGAACTATACACACGTACAAGGTTCTGAAAGCTATGTAAATATGTCATTTGTCCATAACATTCTGTTCTGTTGTGTTGTCGTCACACATGTTATCTGTGACAGATGTCCCTACTTATATACAACCAAAATATCTTTGTTAATTGGAAGCAACTATAACCAGGTGTTGCTGTATATGTAAATGTATTTGTCATTTTTTCGATAACCTATCGTTCTGTTGGTTTGTGGTCACACACAAGATGAAAATAACATGTTGCTTCAAAAGTGTGCCAAATTTGCTGCCGTATGTAGCTCACTGAAATACTTTGGTTAATTGGAAACAACTATATTCAAGGAACCAGGTGTTGACGGCTATGTAGATATAGATATGTCATGTGACAAGAATATACTGCTGTGTCTGTAGATACACAAGGTGAAAATGGCATGTTGCTTCACAGTTGTGCCAATTAGGCTGCTACAAGTAGGTAACCGAAATACCTTTGTTAATTTGGAGCAACTTCATTCATGCTGCCAGGTGTAAAAGGATACGTACACGTTTATGTCATGTGTCCAGAACAAACTGTTCTGTTAGTTTGTACTCACACAGAAGGTGAGAATGACATATTGCTTCATAATTGTGTCAATGAGACTGCTACAGGTAGGTGCCCGAAATACCTTTGTTAATTGGCATCAACATTATCCATGCTGCCAGGTGTTCAAGACAATGTACATGTATATGTCATGTACACATTGCATACCTATCTGCTAATTAAGGTGGAAATGTCATATCGTGTCACATTTGTGCCTAATGAACAGCGACACAAGGTAACCGAAATACCTTTGTTAAATGGAAACAAGGTCACATTCGATACCGATATATGGTTGACAACTGGCGGTCTTTGCATCGGCTGTCCGAAATCACTTTTAAAAGTTAAATGCAGGCACATCTAAAAATATGCAAGAGGATAGGTGAAACACTATTGCGAAACAATAGCAATGGCATTGTGTTGATCGGGAAAATGCATCATGCCCTTGTGGTATTCGACATGATGTCAATGTCTAATTATAACATGTAAATGTATGCCATTACCTATTTTTAATGAGGTGAGATGAAATAGGGATATAAGCGCAGCGTTCAAGATCAAATCACTTATCTCACCTGTCTCTGTGGATGTGGCAGTGGATGTGGCGTGGATGTGGACGTTGCTGTGGCGTGGATGTGGCAGTGGCTGTGGCTGTGGATGTGGCAGTGGATGTGGATGTGGATGTGGCTGTGGAGGTGGCAGTGGATGTGGATGTGGATGTGGATGTGGATATGGATGTGGCAGTGGATGTGGATGTGACAGTGGATGTGGCTGTTGCTGTGGCGTTGCTGTGGTAGTGACTGTGGCTGTGGATGTGGATGTGGCTGTAGCTGTGGCTGTGGATGTGGATGTGGATGTGGATGTGGCGTGGCTGTGGCTGTTGCTGTGGCAGTGGCTGTGGATGTGGCTGTGGCAGTGGCTGTGGCTGTGGATGGGGATGTGGCGTGGCAGTGGCTGTGGCAGTGGCTGGTTGTACCCATCAGAACTACAGTCGGTTTTGTATTGCTCTCCCTCTGAGATACCCTTTGCAGTGCAAAATGAATACAACATCCAAACCATCCCTTGTTATACCTCCTTCATATCGTGTACAACAGGTACGATCTACGTTTCTAACGAACGGATAAACCGAACTGATTTGGGACATATATTGGGCACATATATATTTGAGTGGAAATGCTTATAACGAACTTCGAATACAACGGACTAAAATTATATGTCCTTTGAGTTCGTTATAACCGTAGTTTACTATGACGTTTTTAGGTATGAGGCGGCCAGGGGATCGGACCACCGACCTTCCGCTCTCAGGGCCGACGCTCCATCCAGTAGGTCACGGAGGAGGTCAGCGTCACAAGGACTATCTAGGTTAGTGGAATACTTGGGAAGGTATCAGAAGGTTAAGGTAGGCAGCTCTGATTATTGCCTGATAAAAAGTTAAACGACTTCTCAATGCAAAAGCCATCATCTATTTACAGAAAGCATAATCATTACGGTAAAGTCAATATTCCAATTTACCTGCTGTAATCGATACCATCGATACATAGAGCGGTATCCATGTCAAGAATTGCTATTAAACGTAATATCGATAGACAATCAGTGCCATTTGATAACTGCAATGCATCGATAGTTCTATTGATTGTTATCCCTTAAAATGTTACCCAAACGTTTATTCTACGCGAGAGCGTAATGATGATGAAAAATAACGTCATTATGTTTGCACGTCACAGAAAAAAGTTCCATAGGCATAATTCATATCAACAAGATCATATCAGATGGAAGTGAAAAAATCATAAATGTTCATTCGGTTAAGCTTCATGATAATGTTGACGACAAAGGGTTGTTGGAGTATTAAGCCTCAAGATTAAACAGATTAGGGTAATATAGACGATGACGTTCCAGTTTTAACCTCAGTCATTTGTAACTTAGTCCAGCAAACTTGGATAGACAAACAAAAGCAAAATTATACAAAACAGTGAGGTCGGAGATTTCACTGGATTCCGACTTGGCCGAAAGGCTTGTTTCACAAAGCGATCTTAGAGTTAAAAGACCAGCGTTAATTGTCTATATGGCGACTGTCTGTAGATGACCGAGTCTGAACCAGACAACCCAGTGATCAACAACATGAGCAACGATACACGCAATTGGATACGATGACATGTGTCAGCCATGTCAGCGAGCCTGACCACCCGAGACCGTCAGTGGCCTCAAGCATGGGATGCTGAAGACCTATTCTAACACGGGTTTTGGTGTGTTACGATATTGATAGATCTGTGATCACTTCCGGGAAAAAGCGCTGGACACACCTGTCAGAGTGGTATTCGAGGTAGCGATGTTGCTGAGCACATAACATTGACATTCTAGAACCTTTGGAATATCAGTCTTTACAGTCAAGGAGACCCTTTGAATCAGTGTCCACCGAATTTCAATCTTCCACAGCTTCAAGAGGAGAAAATATATGACGACTAAAATCTCATGTCTCATGTTGTGTTAATGAACGTCAGTATTAACAACAGCTTTCATTATACATATGGTCACACGAGCCTCCTTTAACACTACCATTGTGCGGTTAACGCTATTTCTCAACTAAACACTGAAGAAGCATTAAAGATGCCAATTTCGGCCAGCCTTCATTCCAAAGGGATACCTCCGGAACTATTAACTATCTGAGAGTCGGGATGAGGGGAATGAAGGGTGTTCGCTGATGCTTTCCTTTGAGCCAGAATAGATATTCCTTTCAAGCATACGGTTTCTTCACCGTAAGGGGCTTGGGGTGTAGGTAATCATACTTACCCAAATTCCACTGATTGTTATGAATAACATCGAACACGTCCAGTCTGCTGTTGGATTTGTTGGAAAAATCTAAGAGGAAAATGAAAATTTTAGAGCAGAGTTTATTTTGTTTTGATTCCAATCTACCACCACCCTCAAAGAATTTCAACTGGTCGGTCCCTTAACCCAGGTGAAACCTATTTTCATATTTTCTGATAATTTATCTGGCCTTGTATTGTGATGCGGTAATGGTTGTCTTTTTCTCAGAACTACATGATGTATGTACGCTATATGGTGTACTTTCGTCAGTATAAGAAAACACAGTGCTGTCGTTTTCATATGCATACAAACAAAAAGATTCAGCGCCGACAATTTACCAGCGTGTGTTATTTCTTTGTTGTCTTTTATTACAATTTCAGATGCTGCAACAAAACAGACTCTACTACTATTTAATGTGACGATCTTATCTATCCGAACTCTGAGGTTAAAATACCTGGTGTGTAGACAGTGACATATATCCTTTTTTCAAATTTCAAGTAGATCACACGTTCAAGCTTGGATTGACTTGTGACGTATATAGGTTAATCACTCCACCACAATTCCACCTAGACATATAAACCATTCTTGCGTAGAGAGGATATATGGGCGATAGTCAACTGGTGGAATGTGATACTCGTTATCAAACCATTCAGAGTGCTTCTGGATCCAAGCAAATCACTGCTTTGAAGACAAGCCATTACTTTATCTTATGAATGAATAATTCACTCTGATGCACATTGTAATTTAACTCCTACGTAAATACTAGTATCTGTATATACCATTAATATATGTTTAAATGTAATGTAAATACATTGTTGCAAATTGTCACTATCATTAATGAGATATGTTCACAAATTTCCTTGTATACGTAAAAGCTTTTTAATGATAACGACAAGCCATTTACATTGCCCTATATTTATAGACCACACAGGAACATGCTCAAAGCACAGCGCTATTAAGACACCAGTAGGTTGATCCCTTTGCACATGATTTTATTCTCAGCTCCTTTGGGAGTGCACCAACTTGTTGGCCGCTAGAAGGTTAACGTCACGGGTACCGGGTACTCATTCACTGCTTCGTCATATGAGCGAAATATTCTCACGTTCGACGTTAAACCCAATTTCACCTCACCTCACTGCTGAGTGAACAGAGGCGCAGTTTGAACAACGAATTGTGCACACCTTGATACAATGTAGTTGCAGGGCATACACGCTATTCATTACACACACGAAGTCAAGGACGCACGCACACATGTATGTATGTATGTATGTATGTATGTATGTATGTATGTATGTATGTATGTATGTATGTATGTATGTATGTATGTATGTATGTATGTATGTATGTATGCATGCATGTATGTTGTGTGTGTGTGGTTTGTGTCTGTCTATGTGTGTCTGTATGCAAGTGAGTGTATGTATATGTATGTACGTATGTGCGAATGAATGGTTGGATGGATACTCTGCGCGGATATTTATAAACATATGATAGTTCCCGAGTTACTGTACCTATACTTGAATTAAAATCAACTTGGTAACTATGCCAGAGCCGTGCATTTGGTCATTTTCAATTTCACCTGATACCTGCATCTTTCACGTATGGAAATTTTCTAATGGACTTCTAATGTTCCTAATTAGGAGTCAAGTATCATTACATATAGTTGCTCCTTTGGGTATAACATATAAGCCTCCCTTTGTATTTTTTCGCAATGTGCTGTACATTCCTGCACTGGTTATAAACGTGTATGGGCAAACATCAGTAGCCAAGTTGTTTACAGGTGTGAGTTAGTCCCCATTGAAAGGGCCCGACACTTCCATTAGACAGTATAAACAGTCTGTTCCTGGCCGAACTTGGTCGTCAGCTGGGATATCTGAAAACACATGTAGTCGGTCTTGACAGCTGTTGTTCCAACTTTGAAGCCAACGTGGGATGTGATTTATCTTGCACCGCTGATGCTACGATAACATTTTTTTCCAGCGTGGATCAACTATCTTTGCGTAGTAAAAATAGTCTTTCAACTTTGATACCGATAACAGCGATGGCTACCTGAAATTATATCCGAAACATTTTTCAAAAACAGTTTTCAAAATGTTTCAATTTATAATGATTTTATGGTGTATGTGTGTGTGTGTGTGTGTGTGTGTGTGTGTGTTTGTCTGTCTGTCTGTCTCCCTCTATGTGTGTCTGTTTGCGTGTTTTGCTACGGATATTTGACACCTGAAGTGTAGTTTTTAAAGGTCCGAGGGCAATAGCTAGGCTTACCGCCAATTATTCTTATATATTCTTATCTCGTGATGAAACCGAGGTGTGCGGCTATGATCAGAGCAAGAAGGACAAAAATGAAACAAATGTATCCAAGAATGCCATGCAAGTCTAGATTTCCGAAAATGAAGAACGTTCCTTGGCTCAAATTTTATGTTTTATGATAATAATTTAGGAACTGTTTTTCTGCAAAAATATGTATATTTCAGAGACTAGATGTTAGTCTATAACGACTTCAACAGCTCAATAATAATTCAGACATTACTGTGCCGAATATGAAGATGAACAAAATTTAAGGATTTGTCAGTAGACATCTATATGTGATGGTGTGACGACCACACAAGTATTCCAATAAGTGATGATGGCCAAGAGTGGGGTGTGACAGCCAAGGTCATACGTATTGCGCATGTACAAAGAATCAGACACACAAAAAGCACACTTAAAGGAATGAATGACGGGGCCGATATTGTTTAATGTAATTTGATCAAACACTTTACCTTCAGGAACGACAACTGTTTGCAGTAATATGGACAGTTATAACAAATGAGTCCATTCTTGCACTGAGCAGTTAGCGTTGGAGTGGCCATTTGGGACATTGCAGTTGCCGGAACCGGTGGGTTATTTCCTGACGGACAGATAACTGGGTGACAGGCAGGGAGGTTAAGTAGCTCAATCACAGATAATTCAAGACACCTTATTTCACTCTTCCGTGGTTAGGAGTGGGGATTGAAGTCTCAAGTAATTGGTTTCCTCCAGTCACTTAATCACGCTCCTAACGGAACCTGTTTGAAATACAGTACGTAATCCAGTTCGAAATGAGGTCTCAGTAAAGTATCACCGTGTGCGATAGATGTTTCATTCCTTCAGATGAAATGTTAAGCAGCCTTGTCCTAACTTAATCGCTGAGATGTGATTTGAAAGGGAAATAAGTTAAGGCTTCTCATGAACCGTAAGTCTTTTCAAATGTCGGATTAAGTGAGCGAGTGAGGTTGATTTAACACCACGTTGAACATTATTTCTTGTATTAGTTTGACGTGTGAAGAACGGCCAAACTGATACAGGTCTTAGATATTACCACTTTGGTGTAAATCAATAACTGCTGGGAAACCTACAAACACCATCAGGAGGGATCTAAGATTTGAACTGGCAATCATAAGATTCTGGCACCCCAAAGGGAGGCAACTCTGTCCATTGAATTACGGAACCTTAGGTCACCCGAGCCCCAGATCAGTCGAAGAGAGTCGGTAAATAAGTAAATGAGTAAGCTTTTAACTTTGCTTTGAACAGTTTCTCAA